CCCCCCAAATCTGGCTCCCCAGATGCCTGGTTCAGCCTGTTTCTGCAGGAATTGTGCGGTAGAAAAGGCACAGGTTTATTAACCCCCTGCTGCCATATGGTTAAATACACTCCTGCCACTCATCTGCCACACACCCCTTACGAAGGCAGAAAGGAATTAACATCAGAATTTCTGAATCCATATGCAACCATGTGCATACAGATTCCTGAGAGCAGAAGCCCTTGGACTTGGGCCCAAACAAATTTACAGTAACTGAGAATAAATAAGTTATTCTGATATGTTAATTCCCTCCAAGATGCATTGCTAACGAGCCCCGATAAGCACCTTCCTCCCTCAGAGCTTGGGTGCCTATGCACAGCATTGCAGAGGCATTACACATTTTGGTCACCTGGAAGTGTTACCTTCTTTCAGTTCAAATATTCAATCAATCGATTGTGTTGCTCTTAATGCCTTCCCCTAAGATATAGCTGGATTGCTCAGAGACTGCTCCAAACACAATTGCACAGAACAACAGTATTAAATACAGCACATATCATAAATATAATTTTTCATGCAATAGAACCTGAAAAAGTAGGAGACTATTTTTGTCACGACTCACGCCAGGGATAAAGCATGTGTGCGTACTGACAAGTTTTAAAGTCTGATCATTAACATAGCACCTGATTAATGAAGGATGCCTTAAGAGGTATCTTACTTCAAACCAAACCAATCAATCCAACATAATAAAACCAAGTTGTCCTTAATTTACTATGTAACTCATATTTGTACTGTACATACACACAAGGTATTGCAAGCACTTACTACTTTTTGTTTGGGGGCAAGCTTTTCATTCTTTAATGCCCAATTATCTAGTCTATCCAGATTCAGGTGTAATAAAACTCCTATTGAGGAGATCGGGGGGATGTAAAGAAGGAGCAACAGCCTCTAATCACTAAGGCACACTGTCCCACCCAGGGCGAGGTGGGTTACCATCAGTTGGGACCACGAAAATCCCACACAGAGCACCCGATGCTGGAGAGCAAGGCAGCTCATTGCATTTCCAAAGCACGCAGAAGAGCATTCACCCCCCCAAATCAGCAAGGAGACGATGGCAGGTTACAAATCAACTCTTCAGCTCACAACTGAGGGGCTGAACACACCATAACCCCCTCCCACCTCCTTCACCACAGCGGCCTTAGGAAAGCCAGGGGCTGCAGGCAGCATCTGAAGCTCAAAACTTTGAGCTGTTGCCACCACCACCTGCAATTTTGACCTGCAATACAGGGTCCCAACACCAACACCCACCCTGCAGCACCATAAACTACCCTCCTTGCTTCTGGCATAGCAACTGGCCGGTGTGGATCCTCCTGAGGCGAGGACGGGTGTATTAAGAGCCAGCATCTTTTGAAATACGCAACAGTTTTAATACAAGTGGATTATTTTACAGCAGAATATCGGTAGAGAGAATATCATAGAATCATAGAATGTTTTGGGTTGGAAGGGACCCCTAGAGGTCATCTAGTCCAACCCCCCCTGCAGTGAGCAGGGACACTGCTAACCAGATCAGGTTGCTCAGAGCCCCATCCAACCTGGCCTTGGATGTTTCCAGGGATGGGGCCTCCACCCCCTCTCTGGGCAACCTGTTCCAGTGTTTCACCACCCTCATTGTAAAGAATTTCTTCCTTATATCTAGTCTAAACCTACCCTGGTTTAGTTTAAAACCATTACCCCTTGTCCTGTCACAGCTGTCCCTACTAAAAAGATCTTCCCCCCCTTTCCTATAGGCCCCCTTTAGGTACTGAAAGGCTGCAATCAGGTCTCCCCGCAGCCTTCTCTTCTCCAGGCTGAACAACCCCAACTCTCTCATCCTGTCCTCATAAGAGAGGTGCTCCAGCCCTCGGATCATTTTTGTAGCCCTCCTCCGGACCCGATATTCAGATTAAAAATTCCTCTCATCGCTTACGGAGCTTTTAGTTTCCTACAAAAAGTTAGCTGATGTTTCACTCACAGCAAAAAGCACTTATTTGCTTTGACTCTTATTTTAGAAAGGCTGCGAGCAGCTTAAAACTCCACCTTCCTCCTCTGGAAGGGATCCCAACAAGTAACTGCTCACTCACTCCCAGCTCCTCTGCTACAACTGCCATTCATTTTTAACCAATTACATGGCAGCAGCTTAAAAAACTGACAATAGATGGCAGATTTTTGAAAGTTGGATGCAGTTACAGTAAGCTATTCACCAAAGAGATTTCAGAATAGCAGAGCATACAGCATAAAAAAACCCCCAAACCCTCAACAACCAGGGAAGCTGCCTACTGATTAATGAAATGGAATTAAATTTGAAAGTAAATATTCCAGTCTTGAAAAAATAGCGCATCTGTACTACAGTCGGGAGGAGCTCAGTGCTTACTGATGGACCCAGACAAGCTCTGTTCTACCAATACACCCCCATTTCAGGGCCCAAAGGAGGCTGTACGAGGGCACAGCACGGCAAGGCCACCCCTCGGCACAGGGCCCTGGTGCTCTGGGCCTGGCACTGACCAAAGCTCCAGCAGCAGTTTGTGTCCAGCGTGGAGGAGCAGAACCAGGCTTGGCAAAACTCAAGCGTCGTAACCCAGCGCAGGAGATCTTTACCTGACTTTGGTACGAGACAGGCCGGCCTGGGATCCCTGCCAGGGTAATGGCCTGGCATCCCCACCAGGCGTTGCCGTATCTCACCACCGCAGTCAGCAGGGCAAGTCGCTGGGAGCCCGTTCAGATAAAGCCACCCAAGCTACAGCTGCACCCTCCAGCCGAAGGGCTGAGATACTGCTTAGGAGCAGAGGCACAAGCAAAGCCAAGACTATCAGCATTGTCTGTAGAAACCACAGAGTTCTCCGAATCAAGCGAGTTGTTTAATTCACATTAAGATACAGACAATAACAAGAAGCAAACCAAACATAAGGCCTACGTTTTTAGTGTGCAGCCATGTTTGTAAACTGCAAGTAACATTTAAGTAATCCGAAACCAAAATAAACAGAAGAGTTTTATTTAGCACAACTGCAGCTCTTCAGGAAAACACATCTTGATTTATTTTTAGGGAGGCAAGAGCAGGGGCTAAAATTTCAGCTAGGTAAAGCCAGCCATTAGCACCCTGTCAATTTATGTCAGCAGAGAACTTGATACCTTATTTTCAAGAACTGAAAAACATCTTGCTCAAGATTTCAAAGTAACTAAGGTTTACAATGGGACATTGGAAAGACACCTCTTGCTTTGTTTACATGTCTGGATAAATATTTTACATGTCAAGCATAGTCATAACACTTTCTAAGAATATTCCATTACATTCTTTCTTATGTGACTAATAAGTCTTTCACAAAAATATTTGGCTAGTGTCATGTTTCAGCAAAATTAGCCAGGAACTGTTGCCATATTTTGTGGAAGTTTAAAAAGGGGAAAATACCACTAAGAAAAATACAAAATTGAAAAGGCAGAGACTATGCCTATTTCAACACACATAATGAGGTGTTCATGCAGAGGAAAGGTGCCCGTTTGGGCACTGAATAAGGTCGCTCGTCCAAGTGGAAAGTTCTAAAATGGAAGTGTGTTCCAGAACAGTCCACTCCAGCTCAATTTTAATTTGACAAGCAAGCAACCCATCACAATATTCTAGTCAAAATTGCAGCTGGCTTTGTGAGTGTTTATCTCAAGCACAACAAGCAAAAGAAAGGCCAGGATTTTTAAAAAATTATTTATCTCAAGGAAGCAGTCTTCAAAGTCTGTACTTGTGAGGAATATTCAACTCCTCTGCTGGATAATCCAAGAGATTCACAAATAAATGAGCATATTCCAGCAGTAGAGCTTATGCATGATTTTAATAAATCCTTAACAAGAAGATAGGTCTTACTGAAAAGCCTGCTAATTAAAGGGTCTATTAATGTACAAAGCAGCTCTCTCTACCCCTAAGATTCCAACTCAATCCCGATCAGACGTGACCCAAACCGTGACATTTTAGAGCTCCTAACGAGGACTGCATGAAATGAGTTTGCTATTTTCAATCTGGCCATCAACTAGAGAAGACACTTTGTCCTGGTTTCGGCTGGGAGAGAGTTAATTTTCTTCCTAGTAGCTGGCATAGTGCTGTGTTTTGGATTTAGGATGAGAAAATGTTGATAACACACAGATGTTTTAGTTGTTGCTGAGCAGGGCTTACACCAGTCAGGGACTTATCAGCTCCCCATGCCCTGCCAGGGGCACAGGAAGCTGGGAAGGGGCCACAGCCAGGACACGCTGGCCACAAGGCTATTCCATACCATAAGACATCATGCCCAGTATAGAAACTGGGGGGAACTGGCTGGCTGGGGAGCAGCAATCGCTGCTCGGGGCCGGGGTGGGCATCGGTCAGAGAGTGGTGAGCAATTGCATTGTGTATCACTTGTTTTGTGTATTCTTTTATCATCATTATTATTTTCTCTTCCTCTGCTGTTCTGTTAAACTGTCTTTATCTCAACCCACGGGTTTTACTTCCCCCCCCCAATTCTCTCGCCCATCCCACTGGGGGGGGGACGCAGGAAGAGAGTGAGCAAGCAGCTATGTGGTGCTTAGCTGCTGGCTGGGGTTAAACCACGACACGCTTACAGGAAACCACCATCACTAAGCGACCCTCTTGGCGGCAAACCTGGACCAAAACTCACATGGCCAGAAGTCTCGGCACACTCAACACCAGCGGGTGAATGCCTCTTCCATCTGCGGGACATCGCTGGGGCAGCACGAGGATGCCGGTATGGTCATTAACAGGGCTCCAGCTGCCCTGGGGATAAGCAAAGCTTTTAAGTCTCATGGCTGTGAATCTGTCTGGCCTGAGTTCACAGGAAGTTTTGTTTTGAATTGTTATTTTTAATTCAGCTGTGCCAGCCTCCTAATTAAAGATAGCACTAAGTGTCTGCAACACATAGGGTGAGAGACTGCAGAAGAGTCTATCTTCTGCATTAATATGGTTTAATCTTTCAGAAATGCAATAATTCCACTCTACAAGTGGTGAAATGGCATTTCCCATAGTTGTCCACAACACCTTTAAAATGGTCTTGGAATGACTTAACAGCGCACAGTGAAGACAGATACAGATACCGCAGCCAGGGCATATTAACCAATTTTCTGTAAACAATCGAGAGTTTCAAAACCAGCTTTTAAAAGGAGAGGCATGATCTTGGCAAAGAACATTTTGTAATAGGGACATTTGACAGACAGGGTACCATTTAAATATAGCACAGCCCTAATGTACTAAACTCTCCACAGTTCTATGATCACCAGTAAACAGAAATCCAGTTTCCCCCTTGCTCATCCAACACTAGGTAACAGACATAATTAGACTGGTTTCAGTATCTTGCACAGCACATTCAAAGCTAACCATCTCAAACCCAGCTGTTTATCACTGCTCCTCAAGTCTGACGGCAAAGCTGCACGTAAATGCATTTCCTCACTTTCAAATACGTACATTTAGGTCTTTCTGAGCGAGCCACATCCTACAGCCCGGCGAGGGGACTACCATCTCCCGCAGGCTGGGAGCAGTGATGCAGGGCTGAGTCACAGCAACGTTTCAGTACCACTCAGGAGCAACCAGAACAGCGTGTCTGACCCCAGCCTCACCCGTACATTTGAAAATGGACAGGCTGCTGCGTGGAGCTGGGCAGACACATGCTCGGGCCCCGTTACAGGATCTGAAAGAGGGGACTATTCTGGGAAATGATAGTGAGAAAGCCTTCTCTCCCACCTGCTGCTCACACATGCCCAAGAAGTGTACATCATCAATATTTTTCTCCATTAGTGCAGCATCCGAATCGATGGCTTTCGATCATACTCAGAAAAAAAGGTTTTAAATTGCAGTGCAGTCCAGCTTAACCCAGAGATAAGCAGCATTAAGGGTAAAAGCTAAAACCTGTCTGGTCCTCAATGACTGAAACATTAGCTAATTTACACGCTGCAAGAATGGATCTCACAGAAACTGTGGAGATTAACAAAAACTTGAGGTTTTGAGGTGCTTTATATTAAAACTAAGCCATTTTCACAAGTATACCTGAATCATCTGATTTGAAGATTACAGAGTAACCTCACAATTTTTTATATTTGCAGCTTGGTCTGTCTGAAAGGAAAAAGAACAAAGTAGATGCTATAGAAAACAGCCTGCAGAAGAAAAAAGATTGTGCTCATATATATTAGAGAAACTCCATAGATTTAATAAATCAAATTGTAACAGCAAATCAGCACTTTCTGAAATTTAAATAATCTGTATTTCTTTTCTATTCCTTAGTTGGCCTCCTGAACAAAGTTACAAGAACTAAGGCAGACTTTTTGGAAACCTCCAAAGACTCCTTTCCCAACACATGCAGCAAAGTCTTTTTCTAAAGCCCGTATTTGTATAAAAGGCCTTTGCTATCGTAACCTTCCATCTCCTGAGCCTGTATCCGTCACTAACACCTGACAGAGGGCAGTCTTCTCAAAAAGCATTAGGCTACAAGGAGGTCTGCAAGCGCCTGCCAGAACATTTATGTCAATGGATTAGGGAACTCATTCATAACTACCAACTGCTGCAGCAGATAACATTCCAGGCAGACGTAACCTCTTCTGTGGCTAGAGATTATGCAACGCCATGATTTTTAATCCACTCACCCAGAGGAAGAAGAAATTAGCTAGCTTCCACATAGGTTAAAGCTTCCTTATTCTGTTTTTCTCCACTATTTGTTCCAGTTATGTTGAACTAGCAGATGATATTAACTGCACATGAACCAGGAGACTTGTGAAATCCACCCAGCTCATTTCCAGTCCTGCTAGAAACTCTCTATTGCTGCAGCCACGGTGTTGCAGTGCCTGCGAACAGCTTCTCTCTTCCTGCCTTTTCCCTACTCACCTCCTTTGTGGACCTTTCACCTCAGTTTCGCCAAGTTATCAGAACACCCTGCGTGAGAACTGCAGTCATGCAAGTTATAAAACAGATACCACTGCGAGAAAAATAATGCCAGTGATTATTAAACTGAGAAAATCGGTAAAGTTGGGGTATGTACTTAAGCAAGACAGTTAACAGGCCATCCCACGGCACCATGCAGACTCACAGATTAATTTCAGGAAACGTCACCAGCTGTTGTCCCAACAGAGTGAGCCATGGGGCTGGGCTCCAGGAGATCCAGCTACACTTTCTAGACCCAGAATTCTATTTATTGAGGAAACCCTTCTTTTAATAAATATGGCCTCGCTATTTTTGCCTGCCTAATCTGTTTTTCAAAGCCATGTTGCCAAAACTTTACACACAGCAGTGTTATTTGGCACCAGCAATCACTAATTATTATATGCCATTTCTTATTGCTGTCACAAGAGCAGGCTGCCACTGGACTCACACGTTCTCGCACTGCTCCCCTGTGATGAGCATCGGGCACAAGGTTGAGTTCTGCTACTTCTGTTTCCTTCCTTCTGAAAACTCTCTGATCCAATGGACTAAACTACCACATCCCAACACACGGGTCAGGGACGTAGCACTATTTTATGAGAGCTTGTTGGTAGTTGCGTTCATTTCCCTGTTCTTGTAATACACACTTTTGCCACTGAAAGTACAACTAATACATTTTAATCCATATTATTTGTCTACCAAGCTGTGCTCTCATTTCTCTGTCTTTATTCAATTTCCCTTACCTCTTTTTTTTTTTTTTTTTGGCTTCTTTTGGCTATTTCAGCAGTGGATCCCAAGCAGTTTTTTCTTCTCAGAGTAAGCTGCTGACTAGTTCTCTAGTCACTCTGACAGTAGGATGCGTATGACGTGTTCCAATTTGTAGTTCACAGGGGTATTACTATATTTGTTTGTTCAGTAGCAAAACCAAAGCAGTGACCGAATGTTCCCCCACTCAGGAGTAATCAGTGGATAAACATAATTTTCAACAGCTGCACATAACACATTTGAGGTTGTTCTGAGAGAAAAAGCCAAGGAAAAAACAACTCTGTTGCCGAATGTTGAACTTCAGTGACTACAGCCCATGGTCAATGCCTCCTCTAAGACTAACAGCCATTGATTTTGCTTCTCAGTTTCAGGCCTGTGCTCACGAAACAGCTGCCCTTCAAAAGTCCTACCCCTCTTTTGTGCTCTGACAAGCGGAGCCAAAAACCACACAGGCCAGCATACGGTCTGTGCTCAGGTCAGAGGACACATCACACCCACAAATTAGAACTTGAACAAGAGACAGGAGGAGAAATGGCCACGAAAGCTGATGAAATGAGACACAGGGAAGGCAAGTCCCAGGACTTCAGTTACTTACAGCATCTGTAATTATCTCCCTGTAATAAACTCCTGAAACACACCCATGTGAAAGCCCACTTTGCTCTGCCTTTGTGGTTCTGTTACATTACAACCCAGCCTAGTTCAGTCACCAGTCTGCTGCAAAGGAACCCCAGCCACCAGTTCCATGGGTACGGGCTAATAAGGTCTTGATAAAAAAAAAAAGCCTCCGTGCTGCTTCTAGACCTGAGACTAAAGGACACATTCCTCAACTCTGGCCTCCTGTTATAACAGAAAATGTTAATTTAACCAAATTGGTAATTTCTGAACTCATCATTAGCTCTGGTTATGCTATTTATTAATAAAATCAAAGAAAAAATGGTGGTGGCTCCCCGCCCCTTAACATTTCCCCACAGAAAAGTATTTATTATGCTGCTTCTCTGGATATGGGTTAAATTAGCCAGTAATGAACTGATTCTCTAGCTAAATTTACTTTCTATTAAGCAGTTCATTTAAAAATCAAGAGATCCTTTAGACAGCTGAAGCAGCCTTTATCAGCAGGCACCAGTTCAGCATTTTTTCTGTAAAGAAAGAGCTCATTATCCACACACTCATCTGGGATCTCTAAACAGAACGCAGCAGTCCCAGAGTCCATTCCCAAGCTGAAGTTTTAGGGAGGCTCGCTTTGAATTTATTAAACAGGAATTTACTTTCTAGTAGGAAGAAGAGTTTCTGACAGCAGCTTTGGCAAGAACACGTAACTCTGAGAGACCGCACAGGTACGTGCTATTTCAGGTAGCTCTGCAAGTCTTCTTTCACAAGTTATTTGGCTGCTGAGTTGGCTCGTCCTCATGCAGTGACTTTCATAACAGCACTGTAACTTTGCGATGCAATTATTTATACAGTACCACTACTACCCACTGCTTGGCCAATATTCCTTTATGATCACAGCTTTTGGCAAAAGGGGACAAAGGTGGTGTTAATTGCTATACAGCACTCAAGTCTTACAGCAAATTCATTACAAAGGGTAAAGTATTACTTACCTTTCTCTACACCCAAACTTTCTACTTATGGGCTTTCAGGTATTTAAAGTGGAGTTAATAGCATTACTTTTAAACAATATTGTACTCTGTTCCCTTTGACTACGCTGCTATACTGTGAACTAAACGCTTGGCTGCCTGTCACAGGCACATGCAATGAGTTCAAGATTAGGTCGAATGACAAACATATCCTAGCATGCCCCAAATGCTGAAAGCATCAATTAATAAACCCAGACATGACTCTTACTTCTCATGACCTGTACAGACTGAATCGCCACACAAAAAAATGTTACAATACCCTGAACAGAAAACTCAGAGGGGATAGTTATGAAACCTCTCAGATCTGGAGAATGCAAGACTGAACATTCCAAGATACGAAGGCATCTCAAAAAGACTAAGAGCAGATTTATGATCAAATCAGCTAAAGTAAGAGGGTTTCTCCATTCTGATGGTTAAAAATACTTTAGGGAAGGAAACAAAGATTAGTGCTGTGTGTAGCTCAGATAACGCTACCTCTGGAGCACAGAAGAATAAAGCGTAACATTGAGTAATTTTATACTGGACACATCCGACAAACCTGGCCACATTCACGTGGATCCTAGATGATACATTTCTGTTAGCACAATTATGACCAGCGATGAGGCTTCCTATTCTTGAGGTTCTGGAATTACTGTCTTACCTTCCACTCAAAGAACAATCACAAAACCTTTCCAGGACAAAAAAACTAACCCCAACAAAACCCCAAAAAACCCAATCACTTTCTCTGCCTGTAGGTACATGCAATCTACATCAAACAGCTCAAATGTCTTTGCTAAAACTTGTTTCTCATCACTGTTGAGGAGTATCTAAATAACCAGTTTAGTCCTTCTGACTACATCTTCTTTCAGGTAGACACCTGCAGCTTGACTGAAGTCCACTTAACTTTATACGGAGTAACTACAAAACACAAAGCTTCCAAAAAATAAAATTACCTGATGAACTCCTACCAGAAAGATCACTCCTTTTAAACCCAGATCAAACAGAAAACTCATCCCCTTCAACTCTAGCAGCAACAGGCAGTACTGAAAGAGATCAGAAAGCATTTCACGTGCTGCAAATAAGTCTATCTTGAAACACACACCTATTTCCTTGAAAGCATAACTTACTTCCAATCTGTTCTTAACTACTTTAAGATGAGCTGAAATAGGTCTGGACCCAGTCTTCTGCACAGATTTCACTTAGGATTAGTCTACATAAACTGCTCCATTTCAACCAGAAGATCAGAGCACAGAAGGCCCTCTAATGTGGATGTTATTATAGAAAATAAAGACAATTGAACTGGTATAAGCAACTGCTGTACAGGCTGCTTTGAGCATTTTTTTAGTGACATAAATACATACAAGTTGTAAATGGTACAGTCAATTTATTTTAGTAGAAACTGACTGTTCCCCTCAATCAAACTGCTCCGCTATAATAAAGGCATGTGTAAATTGAGTCTGAAGAATAGTAACTAACAACTCTACATGAAGCTTTGCTTATAGACTAACCCTCAGGTTTTGAGCCCAGTAATTCACTGTTTCAATGCTTACCTCACTGAAAATGCTTCTATAAACTGAGGCAGATGTATTTATAACCCTCGAATGCAGGTGGCTGTCAGCAGTCCAGTCTCATGAGTCCGGGCACTGGGATTAACAAGGACACACCTCAGAAGGGAGAGCTGTGCCTTTCTGTTCATTCCCCAGACATAGCCTCCATCCGATTAACAGTTTGCAATTGCTGCTAATGCCAGCAGGACGGATCATGACTTTGTGGTGAGGATAAGGCAGGCACAGGGAGCACAGGTGAATTTTCTGCCTTAAAGCCATAACCTACTGCTACAACAAGATTTGGGTTTGCAGCAACGCTGACAAAGTAATTCAAAACACTCTCCCTACAGACGTATGTTCTCAGCCTCCCAGGTTTATGCCGAAGACTGTTAGCATTATTATTACCCCTTCCCTGAAAAGCCTGAGGTCACTGAGAAGGCAGTACAGAGAGGATCAGAGACGGGGAAAGTCACAACACAAAAAGGTGCCTATGAGCAAGGGCAGGCTGAGGTCCCACCTACTGCACCCATTTAGGGGAAAAAACCCTTAGAACCTCCTGCTCCCTTTCGAAGCACAGTGGATCCAGAAAGCAGGGAGGAAAGGGAAGCTAGCCTCAAGCCTGAAAACATGCTTAAAAAGAATAACACATCGGCAGACAACTCCAGAACATGCGTAGGAGGGCAGTGTGACCAACCAGCACCCCGCTCCGTGCTCCGGGGGTGGTGGCCACAAGTAGCAGCTCCACTAAAGGGTACTGGGCACAGTTCAGGCCCCCAGGCCGCCCCCACAGTACAGGGGAGAGGGGTAGCGCGGCAAAGATGCAGGGATGCAGCACTACCCCAAGGGATAACAAACACAGACAACAGTGTAGGAGAGGCCCCGAAGACCCCTAAACACAAACAAAAGCACAAGGAAGGCCCCAAAGGCCTCTTCTCCAAATAAAGAGGGGGCAGGGGGAGGCCCCCCCAGCCCCACAGACGGCTCTCCCTCAGTGCACACAAACAAGGCCCCATTCCCACCTCCCTAACGCCACAGAGGAAGGGCAGCCCCCCCCCCCCCGGCGCCGCGCGCA